TGTTTGGCGGGTCCGGGCTGGGGATTCGAACCCGCCACCTTAGGTGTACGTGGCTGGCGCCTTAGCCGGTTGAGCTATAGGCGCCGAGCCTGAAGTGGTTCTTTTTATATGAGGCAAACATCCCACTAAAACATGTGCTATGATGCACCTGCTGTTTATTTTGCTGAGAGCTGTTCAGTGTACTTGCTAGCTATTCAGACTGATTTGCTGGCTTAGTCTTTTTTTTTTTCTCAAGACAGTCTCAAGCTGTTGCCCTGGGTACAGTGCTGTTGGCATCATAGCTCACAGCAACCTCAAGCTCTTGGGCTCAAGTGATCCTCTTGCCTCAGCTTCCTAAATAGCTGGGACTACAGGCGCCCGCCAACACCCGGCAATTTGTTGCAGTTGTCCTTGTTGTTTAGCTGGCCCAGGCCAGGTTCAATCCCACCAGACTATGTGAATGTGGTCAGTGCCCTACCCACTAAGCTATGGGCGCCGCTACTGGCTTAGTCTTGTTCAAGGTCATATTTGGGCTGTAGTACAATTTGTATTTAGACCAATAATCCTAAGGTTCAGATTAGTTGTAACTTTCTGTGGATAAAAGTCATTTCTCCTTAAAGTACACACAGCTTCTTCATCTAGCCACGGTTTCCAGAGGTTTGCTACTGCAGTGTACACTTTACTAGTGACTATAGGCACTTGATCCTGCCACCAGTAGTTATGATTACCCAGGGAAAACTTTGAGATTTGGAAGGAGACTCTGAATGGTGGTTGTCATATTTAGCAATCACATTTATAACAGTTTCAGGTACTGGCATATGATGTGGGCTATCCCCACTGCTGGCAAGGGACCCCAGCTGCCAGCAGCTCCAGGGGCAACTGGGGCATCTGTATCAGGTAGCCAGCAGACTGTAGATGAGCGGGCCCAGCAGCACCATGGTGGGCCGTGGCATATACCCAGAGGTTCAGACTGTCTCACAGTTCCACTTTGATCATTAGGCTCAGCTGTGAATAATGTAGTATTTTTCTTGACTAAAAATACCTTCTTACAGTTTGCACATGGTAGTTTATCTTTTCTATTCCCATGTAAGAAAATATAGTACAGAGAATAAGAAATGGATAAAATGAATATTGTGCTTATAATAGCTCTTGCATGTTGTTACAGTAGTAATGAAATAAGAATAATGTTACAAAAAGCTTTGAATACTCTGAGAAAATGATCAAAAGCCCAAGTATTTGCAGAGTTCTGGTTACCATGGTGACTAAGACTGTGGAAGCAGAATGAAATACTTGGTGGGATTATATAAAACAGTATCTTATTGTATTTGAGAAATGCATCTGTGTCTATCAGTGCTATCCCTAACTTGTGGTGCTTTGCAAAAGCAGAAGCCCCCAAGTTGCTAAATTTTGATTTTAGAGGAGCAAATACATAAAGCCAAATAAGGCTTAGAGGCCATTCATATGTGTGTGTGTATATATATTTTTTCTTTTATAAATTGGGAGTGTACCACAGTGAAGTGTAATGTTCTTAAGTAAAAACAGCTGAACTGCAAAAATTATTTTTATTAAGTATGCTCCCAATATTCAAATAAAGGAAGAAATCCTTTCTAATGCTTCCTGTAGAAACCTATTTTTAGAATGTTCTTGTTCTTAACTAGGAGAGGGTAACTGAGAAATCAGTGATTTCTCTTTGTTCCATTGACCCCTTTCCCCTGCCCTTCTCTCCAACTTTTCTTTTCTTCTTTCCTTGCCTCTTCCTTCTCCTTCAGAGATAAATATTCTCCTAGAGGCAAGTCCTTCAAATTGCTAAAATAAAGTACATATTATTTTAGAGATTATATCCTAAACTATCTGTGCA